AGGCTCTTCCCTCCAGCCACAGCCTGCTGATGGGAAGAACTCAATGACCTTCTAGAAGTAGTCAGTGGTCATCCAGAGCTGCTCTGCATGCCATCCTGCAAGACCCAAGAACACTTCTGAATAGACAGCTCCCGACCTGTCTCCTGCATTGGTCCCACTTACTGTCTCTCCCTGGAAAGCCCGTCAGGTCTTCTGCCCTTGGTCTTCTCTGCCCTAGGGCCCCTGCCATGGGATTACTCAGCTGGTAAATCTGTCAAAAACGAACTTGACCATTTTCTTGATGGGAAAGGGACCCTCACTAGAGAACTATCCCACAGCAGAGAGGCAGAGGATGGCGACACAGCCTTCCTGCCCATCAGGAAGGCTGGCCTTCCCTCCCCAGAGCATCAGGGTGCAAGCGAGCAGGTGCCCGAACAGCAGAGGCTGCTGCTCAGTGTTTGTAGAACCTGCTGTCTGGTCATAGGGGCTCAACCAGAAGACAAAGATGACCACCCAAGACAGAGGACAGGCCACACCTTCTACCCTGTGCCATGTTTTTATCTAGAGAACAGAAAACTAAGCAAGCAGAGCATTTCATCTTTCTCATAAATGCACAAGGGGTAAACATCTCTTTTTTTCAGTACAGGGGATTATATCCAAGAGCACTCTACCACTGAGCTACATTTCAGTCATTTTTTTTTTTTTTTTTTTTTTTTGGGAGACAGGGTCTTGCCAAATTGCTAAGGTTGGCCTTGAAATTGTGAACTTCCTGCCTCGGCCTCCTGAATCTCAGCTAGACAGAAACATTTCTAAAAAGTGGAGCTGCTCTCATGTGCCACTAGCCATAGAAATAAACCAATTCCTTTTACCTGGGTTGATATGTGATATGTGACAGTTGGAGAGAGAGAGGTTCAAAAATAACCTCCTTCAGCCTGGGGTTGTAGCTCAGTGTGAGACACTGGGTTCAATCCTCAGTACCACATAAAAATGTAAACAAAGTTTTTGTGTCCACCCACAACTAAAAATATTTTTTAAAAATAGCCTTCTTCAATATTTAGGCTATGGCATGAGCCTAGCCTCCTCCATCATTAGTTCATTAGAAAAATTAGGTTGGGAACTGCTGGGTGTGGTGGTGCATGCCTGTAACCCCAGCAACTCAGGAGCTGAGGTAGGAGAATCACAAGTTTAAGATCAGCCTCAGCAACTTAGCAAGACCCTGTCTCAAACAATAAAAAGCGCTGGGGATGTAGCTTTTTTAAATTTAGTTCATTAAAAAAATCAGAGATTGCAGGATAATTATGCCATGATACAGGTGGAACTTGTTCTTGGAAAACTAGTGCTCTTATGCATATTCTATGTTACACCAAAGATGGTCATTTCAGAGTATAGCAGTATTGTAATAATATTGGGAATTGTACTTTCTCTGTAGCAGTGAAACCCAACAATGGTACACGAGAGAGTGGGCTTAAAACAATGCCTCATACACTTTCCTACCTGTCCAGCAAACAAGGTGGCTACAGGATGTACTTAGAAGCAGACTGGGAAGGAAGCTGAGGAGCCGAGGATAATGGGCCTCACCCAGCTCTAAATTTAATATCTTAAGTGTTGCTAAAGAGGCAATAAAGACAAAAATTGTAGAAAAAAATGTATCACATGCCTTGTTATCCATTTATTAGAGTTTTCTTTCTCAGCACTGAGTTTCCCAGGTTTGCTCCTTCAGTGCCAAAGAAGGGTAGCTTGCTGCTCAGTTCTGGGAATGCAGCTAGAATAAAGAAACCAAGCCTCGGGAGACAGCACATTCCCTCTTCCCTCAGCCCCAGGAGAGAAGGTATTTCTCGGTTCTTGAAGTCATTTCTGGCAGTGGTAAATTGGGAATAACCATGAAATGTCACTCTCAGTCTGTTCTTCACTGTGGAGATTTGCATTAAAATGTAAATAGTTTTCTGATTAACAAGTCTTTTAAGACAACCATGTGATGCCTTCAGAGGCTGTGACTAGAGGCTTTAAAGCCTGGCCTGTGGCCTCTCAGAGGCTGCTTGCTAGCTGGTTGCCTTACTTGATCATTTGTTGTCCTGGTAATAATATTTAAAGCAGCATCTGTGATTTCTTCTTTTCTGAAAGAATAAAACCCTCTAAAGTTTTCTTATTTTAATTTTGGCTGACCAGACAAATTTGATGTCCATCTCTTTTCCCGTCACATGGCTAGTATAAATTAGTGATGTGCTCCTTGTCAGACCTACAAGGAGCACTCTGTCATTCAGCTCATCACACCAAGTTCAGCTGACAACAGCACACGAGGAAAACTGGAGACAAACTCACCAGCTAAAGAACAAAGGAGAGGGACTATTTTCAAAAGGGGTTTAAAAATATTAAGCACCTGTATATATTAATTCAGACTTTTTCCCTATAATTTCTGAAATTGGAGGGGCCAGGCAATGCTCTCACTCCACTGGTTTACTCCCCTTAGTCCTGGTGTACGGACACTCGAAAGCGCACAGGGGACTGTGCTTGGCTCCCGGCCACAGCAAAGGTCCTTATCCCCACTGACCACTTGACGTTGTACTGAGATGACATCCTGTAGCCTAATCTTTGCTATAACGGTGAAATCATTATTCCTGTTGAATACATTCATCCCAAGGTTGGCTCAGTGGGGACAATGGTACATCTTTTTGTTCTTTAAACAAAGTTCCTACCCACCTACCCTTTCCAGGTCCCTGGGATCCTACTTCTTGCTTTGTCTCACCCGCAGCTGCTGGCGTATTTAATAACCATGCAGATGTGCCAGAAAAACATTTAGTGCATTCACTGTAGGTAGATATGACTGGACTTTTTTTTTTTTTTTTTACTGTGACACTTGAGTCATGTTGAGTAATGAAATAAACAGAAACTAAAATGCAAAGCAAGCACAAGAATCATCTCTTAATCCATGTCTTAAAAAAAACCCAAACACTCTCAACTAAGGAAAAAATAAACAAACTTATGCCCCCTTTCAGCTTGATGACTCTCAAAAGAATGACTGACATCATCTCATTTTTAAAAAGAGCTTTTAAAACAGTGACTCCTCTGCTTGCCTTCCTAGAAAAGGCAATTTTGCTTTTGATTAATGTTTATTGTAGAAAATGAAAGCCAAGGAAGAAATACAAAACGCTTCTAATTAAAGAGTCTTTTAAAACAACCGTTGAGTGTGAGTGTGCTTGTTTATCTGGGAGGCCCCAACCGATGCAAAGAAGTGGTAGCATCACCTCGGACACCAGGCAGATAACCCAGTAAAACTCTTCCAGGGGTTCACATAGGTGTCTGGAGATGTCACTATGCCCACAGTGTAGAAGCCAGCGTAAAAAAACAAAAAAGAATCATAGAGCTGGGAGGGAAATGCAGAAATCCCTAGTCCAGTTGCCAGGGGAACCCAGGGGAGCCCCTCTCACAAGGCTGTGTGATACCACCCAGAATCCTTTCCTGCCAAGAGAGGGACCAGCTTACTGGAAGACCTGCCCCTGGGAAGGAGCAGCCTCTTATTTCCACTGCTGGAAGTTCTATCCCAAATAGCTTCTGTGTTTTTATCAGTGGGACACCTGTCTCCCCAAAGGACTACCTGTCCTCTTCTGTGCCAAGGAATTACTCTAAACAAATAAAGTCCCTTTACTGCATGTCAGGCCTTCAAATATTTGAAAACAATTAGAACTACTTCCAGCCCAAACCTTTCTGCAGCATGAAGCATCAAAGCTGGAGAGGTGAAAACTGGTGTCTGAGCTAGCACCTATCTAACTGGTCTGGACCTTCCATCTGACTCATTTACTGCAGGCTTGGTGTGAAACATATAAAGGCACAAGTCACTGCCCTTGAAGTACATGCAATTCAGTAGACATCATCTTAGTTAATAAACATGCGTGCCCACTAGTATTAGGATCTATTTATATCTGACCTTGTTCCAGACAAAAGGAAAAAAATCCATGTTTGTTTCTTGCCAGAAATATAAGAAAATGCTTTATAAGTATTTCTTAAAAGCATCAGCACTCTAATTAACATCAGTATTGCTGTTAATGCATTCTGACAATTAGGGTAATAAGGTTAAAATCAATTTTCCAACTTGTGACAGACCATAGTTAAGAACCCAAAATGAATAAGCTGTTGTAAGTAAAAGAATTCATTTGCTCCTTAAGAGTTAACTCTATAAATATCTAATTTAAAAAAAAACTATTTGTTAAACTGATATATTCAAACGTGTTACAGTAAAAATATGATATACCCAAATAATTGTCTTTTAAATTTTAGATATATTTAATCTTACTGAGTAATGATAATATGCTGCAGAAGAGCAACAAAAATATTTTAAGGTTTTTCAGTAGTGTGTATACAAATGTATGCACACTATATATAAGATAACAAGCCAGAAAGTCTTCTTTCAAATCTTTTTGGAACATTCAGCTATTTAAGTAAACAGCCCAAAGAAATACATAAATTCCAAAACATCTCTGGAGAGAAAAGTCACTTTAAATGTTAACATCTTTCCCCTTACAATTCAATGGCGAGAAAACGCTGGGAAATTCTTGAATGTGCAAAAAAAAAAAAAAATCGTTTAACAAAATAATAAATTTCAAACTTGAAAGTTTTTAAACGACAATTCTACCTTTAACATTCTTACAGGTTTCTGGAAATGCTTAATAACCTAAAGTATTACACTCATCTTGGTAGTTTATATTCTGTTATAAAATCGACTGTAGCCACCTACATTACAGAGCATGGTTATATTTTTCCTTAGGCCACCTCATTTGCATTAGTGGACTAGATCGTACTGCTAAATATCAAAGCTTGAAATCATTCAACACAGGTCAGTGTGGAAACGCAAGTTAGAGAAACTAGAGTAATTCACTGTAGCGGACGACAGCTCAGTACCCAAGCCTGACTCCTCTGCATACGTGCATTATGCTCCATTTCAAAAGTCACAAGAAAACCGTTAATTTAGGGTAAAACTCAAGCTCGCCCCGAAGCTTCGGAGAAGGCCTGCAAGGTGGAGTACTTACGTAAAGGGTTACCAGGACGCCAGGCACCACAACTTACTAGGGAGGGTCTCGAACGTCCACAGCAGGAAAGCAGCTCCCTTCTACAAGCCTGGAGGATTCGGACGGGCTCCTCCCTCCAGCATCCTGGACCCAGCCCGGCCAGGCCCCGGGGCGCTCCCAGTGCACCTGCAATGCGGCGCCCTGGCCCCACGATCCCGCCCCGGGCTGGCGGCGCGGCCCGGCCGGCTCTCCTCCCGCTTCGCCCCGTAGCCCGCAGGGCGCCCTCCCCAGCGCGCCGGGGTCGCGGCGCCGCCCCCGGCCTCTGCCCGGCTTGGTTTCCCGGGAGCCGTCTCTGCCAGGGACTCCCCTGCCCCGAGGAGCCGGCGTTCCTCCCTCGAGCCTGGGGCGGGCGGCTGAGTTCAAAGCCGAGCACGCGAGCTCGGCCCCACCGCGCCGCCAGGTGAGCGGGGCTGGACTGGGCGCGCCCCGGGCCCCGCCTCACCTGCGGCGCGGCCGCGGCGGTCCTTCAGGCGGCTCCGCGGCTCAGCGCGGTCCTCCGGGCAGGCGGCGGCGGAGGGGGCCCGCGGCCCATGGGCGGGGCAGGCGGCGGGGCTGGGCCCTGCGGCCGGCGCCGGGGGAGGTCAGCGGGCGCCGCCCGTCCGTCGCATCTCTCCGGTCCCAGCGAGCGCTCGCCGCGATGCACCCTGGGAGCCGGCCTCGCCGAGGCCTGGCCGCTCTGACCCGGCGGGCGGGCGCGGCGCCGGCGCGGCGGCTGGCTGCAAGTGCGGGTAGGGGCGGGGGAGCCGATCGGTACTCACTCGGCGGGGAGGGGGCAACGCCCCACTCCCCGCTGCTGAGGCAGGGCGGGGGCAAGGACCCAGGGGAAGGGCGGGTCCGGCGGGTGGGACGCAGGCGCACTTGCTCAGGTGCGGCCGCAGTGCGGTTGCCCTGGGTAACGCGGGCCGGGGCAGGGGGCGGAGAGGGAGGCCGGCGGGAGCGCGCTCGCGCCGCGGTGGGGGCGGGGGCGCGGGCCGTACGGCGCGCATGCGTGCGGCCCTTCTCCCTAGGGCCTCGCGGGCCTCGTGCGTGCGCACGCGCGCCGTCCCCCGGAGGCGTCTGGGTGTGCGGAGCGCGCGCGCGCGGCTCGGAGGCGCACCTGTGAGGTGTCCCCGGAGGAACGGCGGGTGGGCGCGCGGAGCCCGCGGCCTGGGGCGCTCGCAGCCCGCACTTGGAGTGAGTTGGCGCGGCCGGGCCGTGGACTCCGTATTTTCTCTCCCGGCTGGGGGCGGGGAGCGGGCCGGGGGCTGGCGGGCGGCGGAGTGGGCTGAAGAAAAGGAAAACAACCCATCTCTCGGGACGGGCCTCGAGCCGCGCCGGTCCTGGGGGTCGCGCGGGAGGGAAGGTCAGCGCGGCGCTGCTCGGGCAGGCCGGGCTGGGAGGCCGCGCGGGGCCTCGGGCGGCGGCCGGGGGTCGCAGGGGGCGGCGGGGCTCGGCGGGCGGAGGCCGCGGGCGCCGGACTCCCGGGCTGGCCCATTGTTGTAGCGGCCGGGGGCAGCGGAGCGCGGCGGCCCGGAGGCCGTGCGGTCGCGCGGGGAGCGGCTTCAGGGGGTCCCCGGGGAGCGGCCATGGCCGCGCGGGGCCGGGAGCCGGGCTGCGGAGCGGCCCGCTGCAGGGTGCGGTGTTGTTGCTTGCAGCGCGCAGGCCGCGGAGCATCGCGCTCAGGTGATGAAGAGCGCGTCGCGCACCCGGCGCAGGAGCCAGCCGCCGCCGGACGCCTCCATTGTTTGACCACGCCAGGCCGGCCCTGCCCAGGTGAGCTGGCCGCGGCGGCACCCCTCCTGCGCGGCCTGCAGGCCGGCCGCTCCCGGCGGGACCCGCTGCAGCCCTCGCCTGCCCCTGCCTCTGGTTAACTCGCGGTGCCCCCTCCCCGACGTTTTCCCTTCCGGATTAGGCTGCCGTGTCGCCTTGCCAGCTCACCCCGCGTCCCCGCAAAACTCAGCTCCTTTGTGATACCTTTCTTGCCCAACTCTACCAACTAAATCGAATCTCTCCAGCAGAGTCTGCTCGGTACGGGCGAGCTGCTAGTTTGATAACTGGCTGTCTTATCGCAACAAAGGAGTCCCCGTATTGGAAAAAAAATATTTCCAGGCTATTGCCTTCTAAAGGAACGTTTTGTGATACTTAAAACAGTTTATTGTTTTATCAAGACCGAACTGTTTTTATGCATTTTGTCTTCTCTTTTAGAGGGGACCCCTAATCCCTTTGTAGACGCAAAGCTTTTCAGAGCAGGGAAGTGTGACCTTGTTCAACCTACCGGTTAATTTAAAATTTAAAAATTAATTTTGGATTAGTAGAGTAGTGCATTTTCTTTGTACACACGGGTGTATCTCAAGAGATGGCAAGACTTTGACTATCACCCCCACCCTCTGCAGATAAGGACTAGGATATGTGTGCTGTGTGTCCTTCTGGCTTTTAAAAATACTTGGAATCATCTTTGATTGTTTTAACAAGTATCAGCTAGCTAACATACTGTCTTTCAACTTCAGCATTATGTGCTTCAACTAATTTTTAAGAACTGCTGCATCACGTTCTGTAGTTTGGGTATACTGTAATTTATTCAGCCATTTCCCAGATTATCACAATCGTTTGAAAAATAGCTTTATTTGGTGGTGGTTGTTCTCTGGTGAGATGCAGTTTTAGTGAAGGATGAAATTCTGTGCTAATTACAGAAAATAGACATTTATGGTGGAAGTTCCTGGGTTAAGAATCTACATGTGGGAGCCTCCAGCCCTTCTGTGATAGTCGTGACTATACTACTTACAGGTCCTGTGACCTTGGGAGAGGACAATTACTCCAATCCTCAGTTTTCTATAAACCYGTGTTAATACTGCTCTCTCTGCTTCACAGAGTTAAGTGATACCATGGGAAAGTGCTTGGTAGAACCCGAGGTCATAAGCAAAGATTGGTTTTATTAGCCTTTCCAATCCAAAAATTATCAATTTGCAGTATGATTTTTTTTGTCAGATGTTTGTATCAGAATACTAGAGATGGCAACTTTGAATGATTTTTTAATTTATGGTTTTGCTATAACTAATTTTTGTCAAATACTGGTAATGCTAAAGATTTCTTAAAGAATATTTGGCAAATCACATTTTTCCTAGCGCTTTTTTTTTCAGTTGTCAATGGACCTTTATTTTATTTATATATATGCAGTGCTGAGAATTGAGCCTGGGCCTCACACATGCTAAAGCACTCACAACCCCAGCCCCCTAGTGCTTTAACATGCCTTAAAAAAAAAAAAAAAAGTGAGGCATGTAAGTTAGTTGACTGAATCAATGTTATTAGCAAATTAAATGCTTGATAAAACTTCTATTGTAATAGTTAAAAAACATTTTCTGATGATGTAGATTGAACACACTAAAGCTAATCTGAGTCTGGCAGCAGCAGACTCAGATTAGCTTTAGTGCTTCTTCAAGGGAAAAAGAAATGACTTCTTACTGAGTTTGTAAGCACTATCACATCATTTCATCAATTTAAATTTTGATGAAATGATTTGATAGCTACAAAATTAATGGCCTTGTAGATATTTTCCTTTCATATATTATACACACACACACACACACACACACACACACACACACCCACACACACCTGTGGTATGGCCAACAAAATCAACTCATCCCTGCCCTTTTGAAATTAGGGCTGTTCAGAAATGAATCTCACAACTGCACTTCTGCTCACAAAGTGGTATCCTGAGAGGCTTGGGTAGTACCTGCTGTGAGAGAGGATGAAAATGGGTACTGCATCTTAGATTGGGGAGGGGGACCCAGGAAAGACTTGTGCAAAAAATAAAATTAAACTGAAGTTTGAAGGGCGAGTGGGCGGTTAGTGTCAAGTGATGTAGGGGATAATTTTCCAGGCAGAGGAACAGCATGTGGGAAGGCCCTGAAGGGGGGAAAAAACTTTGMCCATTCCAGGAACTGAAGGAACAACTGTGGATAGATTCTAGTGGGTAAGGGGGGAGAGTGGCTAGGCATGGGGCCAGATCATGTAGGGTCTTGTAGGACAGGTTAGGGATGTTGTGTTTTATCCAGAACGTAATGAGAAACCATTAGAAAGTTTGGTTTTAAGCATAATCAGATTTGTATTTTTAAACAACCACTCCAGTTGCCACATGCAGAATGCGGGGGTGTGGGTGGATCGTGGAAGTGGGAAAAACACGCAGGCTACTTCACAGAGCTATCTAGAGGAGTTGTGTCCTATTTCTTGGACTTTATAGTGAAGTCATGCTACCATCTATGGTTTAGTCAAAATAGATGTTTGGTTTAAAAAAACAAAACCCCCTCATTTCTTACTCTAAAAAGACAGGACTAAATAAAAGTAGGAATAAACAGATACTTTTTAAATGTACTGAAAAAGTGCACATAAGCATGAAATCAGTTGTCTACACTTAAAACACAAACTGTCAGAAAATCAAGTTAAAAATTAAAACATTGTTTAATAAGTTTCGACAAAGCCATAACACAAATGAAGTGAAGATGTAAAATGAAAAAGAAATATTTGTAGACACTGTTGACTAGGGAAACATGCCTGAGTCTGCAGTTTGTGTATAAAATTCATAGTTGAATATCCAAAGTAACCCAGCAGAGAATAAAACAAAAGAAACAGAAAATGAACTCTGGCCACATTTCAACAACAATTAAAAAAAAAAAAACAAAACAGTGAAGCATGTAGGTAATGTGGATGCATCCTACTGAGGAAATACTGTCTACATAGAGGTGGTCATAAAGTATCCTGAATGACTTGAATGTTTTTGACGTAAAGAGAGGCCACATTCCTGGAAGTGATGTTTAAATGTCATGGAGATGGCCATTTTGGGGTGAACTTAATAATTATGTGTACTGAGATGGGGGTATTTATGAGTATTTAAACACCACAGAGCCATATTCACCACATCAGCGTCATCCTGACTTTATCAGATTATCTGTACAGGTCACTGAAACCTGTGCTCACCCCAGAAATAAACTATTTTATATGGAAATCTAACACATGATAAGTCATGAGTGCCCCCTAAATCTGAAGAAAACAGAAGTCCCTATCAAACATCTGAAAGGAGGAGACCTGTACACTCAGCACAGACTTTGTAGTTAGTTGTACAACTGGAGACTTAAATAAGGAAACAAATCTCTTATCTTACGAGTGTCATGAGAGTGAGAAACAGTGGAGAAAATATAACAAAAAAAAATGTATTCCACTACATAAAAAGTTAAAGTACAGAAGAAAAGGAAAAAAAACCCCTACAATTAAGTTACCACAAAATCAGAAAATACTTGTGTCAATAAGCAAATGATGTTTAATATATAAAGTCCTATCTTACGAACAATTGGTAATTACTATTCAGAAGAGTTAGATTCTATTCTCAATAGCAACAAGACTAGACGATAATAAGAACAAAGCATGAATGAACTGAAACCTTATGCAGAACATTAAAATCTTATTTAAATGATTTAAAAGTTAACCTGAGTAAATGGGCAGCCCTTGCAAGGAATTCATGATATTCTTGTAGGAGAATATGAGATAATATGAAGGAAGTCTATTGCGGCATCATTTGTAATGAGGAAAAATAAAAACCAACTACCATAAATTTTGGTGCTGCTACACTTTGGAATATTACATAGTTTTTTAAAAAGAGAAGCAGTCTTGAATGTATTGACATAGCCTGGATGGATGTCTATAATATACTATAGAGCCCCCACAAAATAAGTTTAATCCTGTTTTTTGTAAGATACAAATGTTATGTATGTTATATCTGAATAAAAAGGAAAAGATCTAGAAGAATCCTTGGAAAAGCATTACTAATGATTACTTCTAGGGGAAAGCATAGGACAGTTTATTTCATATGCTTTAGCATTGYTTTAGTGCTTTTTTTGAACAAGCATTTAAATAGGAAAAAAAAAGCTACATTCAAAAGATGTAGAATTATTTTTAAAGGTAATTGATTCCCTAGCCACTAAAAATGTTCATGAAGAAAATACATTAAAATAGTTGTGACAGTGTTAAGTTGGAGAAAATCAGGATAAATAGCTGTATACGTGATGTATTAAACAAAAGTCCCAACAACCTTCCAGTAAAACCTATGAATGGGGGACTTGGGTTGTAACTCAGTAGTAGAAGGCTCTTCCCTCGTACGTGTGAGGTGCTGGGTTTGATCCTCAGCACCACAAGAAAATAAATAAAGGTGTGTGTGTGTGTGTGTGTGTGTGTGTGTGTGTGTACGTGTACGTACACACAGAGAGACACAATTTGTAGAAAATTTGTTAGACTATTAAGAGTACTCAACAGGATTGACAGATACAAGATAGGTACAAGATATCTTGTATGTATTTATGTAGACATAAATCAAAGGGAAAACTAATGAAAAATTATGGAATGGGATATTTCTATAAAGTATGAGGTTAAGTATGTCCAACTGCAACTAAAATAATATTTTTAAAAAACCTGTGAATGGAAAATGTCTAGAAGAAAGTAGATGAGAATCTTACGAATTGTGAGCTTTGGGTGGTAGAAGGTTGGTGATTTAAATAATCTGCTTTTTTATATTTGTTGAGATCATAACTATTACATTTATAACAGAACCTATATATAATTTTATGTGTGCACTTTTTCAAAGCCACATAGAGGGGCTGCGGTTGTAGCTCAGTGGCAGAGCACTTGCCTAGCATGTGTGAGGTGCTGGGTTTGATCCTCAGTACCACATAAAATAAAGGGATTGTGTCCATCTACAACTAAATAAAATAAAAGCCACATAGATA